CCAAGTTCTAGGCAAGTACTCTACCAGGGAGCCGTACCCCCACGCAGCGTTGCTCTGAGCCTTCCCCTGCTGAAGCTAAGTCAGCTAGGTCTCAGCTACTTTCTCCAGGCCGAGGCATAACCCCTCACCCAATGTTTAAGGGAGGAAAGGTTTATTTTGCCTCAGTTTCTAGAGACTTCAGTTTGTAGTTGGCTGGCTCAGAGGCAGGGCAGAGGGGCCTGATGGGAGAAGCAGCTTATGGCCTGGTCACCAGGAAGCACAGAGGGATGAAGGAGGGGGGAGGCAGACCAGGCCCCCAGTGACCCTCCTCCTCTGACCAGGCATCTCTCAGCACCACCTTTGGCTATAAAATCATCTGTGACCTAATCCATGGGTGAGTACCCTATCATGCTCCATGATCCAGTCACCTCCTAAAACCCCACCCGTGAGTACATGAGGCTTGAGGGTTCGCAGTGTGGGTACCATCCTGGTGTTGGTCTGGTGTGGGGGGAGCTGCCCGGGGGGCTCGGGGCTGCCTTTACCTGTGTTACTTGGTGGGGGTCAGTGCAGAAGAGGTGGGAGGCGGAGGAGGGGAGGACATCTCCACTCAGGAGAAGACTTTCCTGAGTGGAGCAAGGACCAGCACCAGCTTAGTTGGTGGGGAGAGGTGGGAGGGGCTGGATAAGCCGGCTGCAGAGGGTGAGGATGGAGCTGAGCAAGGACTGGAGGAGAACGGGGCCCCCACGTCCTGAAAGAGGGAAGGAAAGGGAGCTCCTGTGTTTAGAAGAAATTGGTATAAACTTAAAGGGGGCTTCTCTGGATTACTCAGTGAGTGCTGTCTGTGGTCATTTTGAGTCCCCCTGGGATGGACCCCAGGGCTGCATGCGTGTTAAGCATTGGCTCCACCACTGGCTGCACCCCTCTTTCCCTGAACCTCACTGAGGTTTCCTATGTCTAGAGAAGTTAGTTCTGTTCCACTGGAGAGCTGTGTGTGTATGTGCACATGTACGTGGGTGTGTGCTGTGATCAACTCATGGAATTCTCCCTAGCGTGTTAACCTTTGGGAAAGATGAAATACACACTATAAATTCAACAGAAGAAGGAACCATGAGCTTGGGCTTTGCGACCGCTGAGTTCAACAGAGGGGCCTGGAGGCCAGTACGCTGCTCCATGGAAGGGGGCCCCAGGGGAGTGCTGATGCCTGGACATAGGGTGTCACTGGACTGGACATGGAGGACATTAGCAAGCCGCTGTCCGGAATAAGACAAGACATGACCTAACATAGTGGATTCATGCATATTTCCAAGTTCCTGTTAAAGCTTTGGGTTAGGCATGGTTCCACATGCCTGTGATCGCAGCACGGTGGAGGCTGATGCAGGAGGATGGCCATGAGGTTGAAGCCAGCCTGGGAAAGAGTGAGACCTTGTCTCAAAAAGCCAATAGCAACAGCAACAACCTTGTGCTGTGTGTGCAGGAAGCTGATCCGCGGGTGTTTTTCTAAACACAGGTGATTTCATGCTTCCAAAATGGGGCACAAAGTCGTGGTGTTTGACATCTCTGTCGTCAGAGCCTTGTGGGAAACTCGAGTCAAGAAGCACAAAGCCCGGCAGAGGAAGGAGGCAGAGCGCCTGGAGAGGAGCGCACTGGAAAAGTAGGAGTCACTCGTGGGCCTTGGCTGGGAAGGACGCAGTGTGATGGTCAGGACAGGCATAGGTGGGGAAGCCAGGTGCGGACTGTGTCCTGTGATCTGGCACTCAGGCCCCAGGCCCTCTCCAGGCTTAGCTCCCTGGGATTGAGGCCTGGGGACCTGTGCCAGCCTGTGTCGTCAGGAGCAAAACTGGAAAGCATGCCAGTGTGGTGGTGCACATCTATAAGCCCAGCACTCAGGAAGCTGAGGCAGGAGGATTTCTGGGAGTGCAAGGCCAGCCTGGGCTATATAGAGAGGCCCTATCTCAAAAGAAAAAACAACCAAAACAAAAACTCCCAAATGAATGAATGTGAATATATAAAGTTCTGGCTCCCTTCAGCTTAACTGCAAAGACAAAACCCTGGCAATAACTAAGTAGTGGTTTCTTTAGAGCAGAAAGTCCCATTACAGGGGCCAGGGAGATGGCTCAGTAGGATAAGTGCTTGACTGGCAAACGCAAGGATCTGAGTTCCATCCCCGGTTCCAAAAAAAAAAAAAAAAAGTCCCCTTACAAAAGTGACATGTGCACCCAAGTGACATGTGCACCCAAACCTGAGAACCAGGCCTGCAGACCTCAGGCATGAGCGGGTCTTGGCAGACAGAATAATATGTCCTTTCACTGGAGACTGTAATGTATGGGTGATCTTGGCAGTAATGTTAGCCAGACAGTCCATCCAATTCACCTCGAATTCTTAAGTCAGAGGAACCAACGATCCGTGGGGAGAGCCATGCTTTGCTTTTGTCTGGGGGCAGGAGCAGGAGGAGGGTGGGTGGGTGGCTGGTGGCCAAAGGGTGATCCGCCGAGATAACCCTGACTCCCTGCCTCCAGGATAAAGGAGGAGTGGGACTTCGTGGCCGAGTGCCGGAGGAAGGGCATTCCTCAGGCCCAGTACTGCAAGAATGGCTTCGTGGACACCAGCACCAGGCTTCTGGACAAGATGGAGCGGGACTCCCTGGCCAGGGAGCGCTCACAGGCCAAGGGTGAGGCCCGACGCAGCAGCTCGTTTGTGTTTGAGCTCTGTGGGGAACACTGGAAGGTGAGCCCAGATGTCCCTCCCTTATGTTAAAACAGCTCCTTGCGGCTAACACCGTCAGCTAAAGCCACAGATGGTCCTGGGCTGCGGAGAGGCCCAGGGACCCCTGCTTATCCTGCTCCAGCTGCCCGGTCCTGTCATGTGGAGGCGGGACAGAGAAGCCCCTAGTTCTTTTTCTGGGGTTCACAGTGGTGTCCTGGCCGCCCTCCTCTGACCCGCAGCCTGGCCTGGGGAGGCATCACCTGGATGCGTGTGACCTGCTGTCTTGGTAGAAGCAGCACCCAGGCTCGGGGCTCAGTCCGCAGGATCAGGATGTGGCCAGCGGCACAGGAGCTGGTTCAGGCCCATCTCTGCTGCGGGTGGGGAATTCTCCACGGGCTTGGAGCAGACTGCGTGCGAACACTTTGTGAATACAGTTCTCTAGGGGCTGGGGAGATGGCTCAGTAGGATAAGCGCTGGACTGGCAAAGGCAAGGATCTGAGTTCAATCTCCGGTTTTCAAAACAAAACAAAAACTGGCAAAGGCAAGGATCTGAGTTCAATGTCCGGTTTTGAAAAAAAAAAAAAAAAAGTTCTCCAAAACCAAGAGCCCTTCTTTGCAAAGCCCCTCTGATATCCACCCATAGCTTTTTGGGGGGATGGTTTCTTCTTTCAGCTTTCTTTGCTTTGACGGTGTCCGTTGTTCTGATCTTCAGGGGAGGTTCTTTTCCTGAGGGTCTGGAGACCCCGGGCTGTGCTCACTTCGGCAGCACGTATACTAAAATTGGAGAGCCTGGGCTGACTGGGCGCTGGGCAGCTGAGTGCTGAGCATGTGTCCAGTGTGGGCTTGGTTTTTAGGATGTGGCTGTAGAGTTTCCCCCTCCCGGCTGCCTTCCGGTCAAGATTTTTCTTGAGCTATGAGAACCCGCAGAGGACCCACTCAGTTCCTGGGATGGAGAGAGACAATCTCAGTGCTATGGTTTGGATCTTAACTGTCTCCTAAAGGCCCCAACACTAATGGCTGGCTCACTAGTCTGTGGCCCTATTGGGCGGTGGCACCTTTAAGAGGCGGAGCCTCGTGGAGGAAATGAGGTCACGGGGGCGTGGCCCTGAGGGTCTACCACCAGGCCCCTCCCCTCTCTCCTTGCTTTGCGGCCACTAGGAAGGAGCCGCTCTGCCCCAGCAGGCAATCCCCATCTTCTCCGTTTGTCTGGTTCTTCCTGCCCCCACCTCAGCTGTGTCTGAGGGAGCTCAAAGACTCCTGAGTTCAGAAAGGTCTTTGCTTGTCTTAGCGTCTGGCTGTCACAATCCTGGAATTAAATTAATTAGTTAATTTTTGGTACCAGGAATCGAACTCAGGACCTTGCACTTGCCAGGCAGGCACTTGTGCCACTGAGCTATATTCCCGGCAATATTGGCATTTTAAACAAGGGACCCAGTTTTCATTTTGCACTTAGCCTTGTGAAGGACACAGTCGGTCCTTAGTGAAGCGATTCATGTAAGCATTTTGTGTTTGGCTTTTTTCTTTCAAATGGGCCTTAATAATGCCCCCTTTGCCTGTCCCACGGCACTGTCCTGTAGGTGATCCTGGAGCGCGGGGACCTGCATAGCTTAAAGGCCTCGTCTTCACAGCCAGTGATGACCAGGAAGTGTGTCACAGTACCCAGCACAGAACCGAAGGGTTGCTGTGGAGTTGCCCCTCCCCCTAGGGCATGCCCTCCTCTTACCGAGGAGGTGCCACGTGTGGTCTCATGAGGCCAGGCGCCCTGCATCTCACCCTGCAGTGGGCTGGGAATCGTTTGGTGAAGCAGATTTCTTCAGCTGCACGAACAGCTCCCTGGAAGCCTTGTAGTGCTTCTCGACACTGCCACAATGTCGTCCAGGGACACTTGAGCTGGGAAGGCTTCGGGTACCACTGCGTTCCTCTCATCACTTCAGAAACCGTCAGCAGTGGCTGAGGGTTCTTTTGGTCGGCTTGTATAGAAACCACAGCCGTGCCAAGCGTAGCTCCTGTAGTGTGGGGAGTGTGCCGGCAGCTCTTGGCGCCTGAACCGTCTTCGTGGCTCAGAGCTAGCAGCTCCCCGCAGGCCAGGAGCTCATAAGGATCGAAGACAGCGGTTCCGTCGTTCTCCATCCTGGCCGCCTTTGGAGCCAGCTCTTAGGGCATCAGCACTCACATAGAGCTCACTCGCAGCACCCACAGAGGCTCTGTTAGGACTCTGTTGTGCTTACTAGTATTGCGGGGCCACCCCACCAAGAGCAGACTTCTGCAGTGGGCTCTCACGAGTGCAGGCAGACTTTCCACATCACTAGGGGCAGAAGGGCCCCCTCAGACCCTGCCGAGTGGGGCCGCAGCAGGATGGAATCCAGGGGATGACCCGCCACCGAAGCCTGCTGAGCCACGGCGTATATCTCCCTGGGTGGCTGGGACAGCCCAAGTACCCATGGCTGGAAAAACAAAACAAAACAAAAAAGACTTTGTGGGGGTGTCAGACCTTTCTCTCGCCTCTCAGCGCCAGGGCCTGAGGACACGGCACACCCACGAAGCTGCAGAGCCCGGCCTGGAACGCAGGGCTCCCCTAACATAACATGCATTGGAAACAGGGCTGGGTGTGAGATCAGTGACAAGTGCGGGTGTGTTTTTTGGCTGGCTGTGAAGTCTGGTGCAGTCTTATTTGCTGTCCTGCACTGTTTTTTTGAAATAAATGTGTGGTTCCCCCAGGAGCTGCTCTGACAGTTGTCCTCTGTCCTGTCGCAGGAGCTCCCTGATTCACTGAAGGAGCAGACACACCTGAAAGAATGGCACATAAGCAGCACACTGATTCAAGTCATTCCTACATACATTGAGCTGTTTCAAGCAATGAGAATTCTGGATCTGCCGAAAAACCAAATCTCGCATCTTCCAGCTGAAATTGGTATGTTACTGAGCAGGAACCTACAGGCTTCTTGTCTGGGATAAACAGGGAGCTGTTGGGCAGATGACCCCCAAATCCCATGTTTCCTCCTCCAATTACTGGGGGACATTGCTGGGCAAGGCTGTTTCCGTGTTCCTTAGCTGCTTGCTTGTAGTGTCCCCTTTGGGCTTCTGTACCCTGCTCTCACCTATATAACTCAGCCCATCCAAGCCTTTGCTAGTTGTACAAAAACTAGAAGTCTTGTAAGTGAGCAATGTTTTGTTCAGGAACCTTCCATTCATTTTCTTCTAATCTATTATTGTGAGCATAGAGTGAATCTATTGAGTGTGTATAACAGTACATTATGTTAGTTTGCCTTACAATGTCTTTTGTTTGGTGTGTGCTTGGTCCTGGAGATTGAAATTCTTTTTTTTTTTTTTTTTTTGTGGAACCGGGGATTGAACTCAGGCCCTTGCGCTTGCCAGGGAAGCGTTTATTCCACTGAGCCATCTCCCCGGCCCCTGAGATTGAAATTCAGACATCATTTTAGGCTTTTTTCTTTTCCTTCTTCTCCTCCTTTCTTCTTTTCTTTCTTCTCTTCCATCTTCTTTTCTTCTTCCTCCTTTTTTCTTTGAGATAGGGTCCCACTATGTAGTTTAGGCTGGCCTTGAGCTCACAAAGCAGCCCAGATTGGCCTTTTGTGGTGATCCTCCTGCCTCAGCCTCCCGAGTGCTGGGATTACAGGTGTGCATTGTATTGTTTTGGTTAATCAGAAGCTTGATTTTCAATCATTTCATCATTGAGTTGTGTCATCGTAAGATGAAGACTGCAGCAACCATGGTTGTCTTTTTTTTTTTTTGTGGTATGAGGACCAAAGGTCTAGGGGTGGCACAGGCTCCCTCATTCCCTCAGTGCCTGCCCCGGGCCCTGGAGAGTGGTGGAGGAGGTAGCAGGAGCCGGGGCAGCATGGGTGGAGGGCGGCTTTTTGGGGCCTGGTGCTTGTTCAGCCTTGCTGGGCGTGAGGCCTGTGGTGCCCTGCTTACACTCTGACCCAGAGCCGTGTCAGAGCTGTTCTGCAGCTGCCAGCCCTGCGGGCTCAGGGGACATCTCCTTGCTGCCTGCTCTGAAAGCAGGGGGTTCTCTAGCTCGGCTGTCCTTCAGCTGCAGTGCCCCTGTGGGCAGCATACCCCAGGCCACTTGTGTCCCCTGGGGTGGACTTGATCAGTATGCTGTCCTTGTTGAGAGCCTCTTGCGGGCTGGTGAGTGGGGAGAGATCAGTGTGGCCCAGAGCTGGGTAACCGCTCTGTGTCCTTCCTGGTGTTGGGAAGGGTGAAGAGGACCCTAGAATTCCCTGGAAAGTGCCATGGTAGGGGGTCACAGATTGGAGAGAGCAGGTTCTGTGACATCAGCTGACTCAGCCACCACCTTTAGCTGTCAAGTTAGGGACTTCTTGTGGCTTTGCCAGAAGCCAGAGTTGGCTGTTTTGGGGAAGGTTCTTGGTGAGTAACTGGTTTCTGAAGACAGAGTCCCCTGAAAAGTCCTTTCTAGGTAGAACATTTCACACCTGAGAAGCCACGGCGGTTGAACTGGATTCAGGCATCCATGTCATCTTGCCAGCTGGGCTTGGGAATCCAGTGTCCAGCAGTGAGGTGGGTGGGGAGCTGAGCCCGAGGCCACCACAGAAGGCTGGGTCTGGCCCATGGGGTCCCAGTTATGTCAAATTTTGTACTCTATTTATTCTTGTTAGTCTTGTAATGGCTATGCCTGGAGGTATTACCAGCCAGTGGCATGACTGTTCTTCTCTTGAAAAGCATGAGTTGGGGAGAGAGGATGCTCTTGGACCTGGAGGAGGGCAGTACACCCCAGTGTGAGATCTGGGGTATGTGTGATCTCGTCTACAAAGGGGACCAGAGTATGCCTTATTTACCTATTTATGGCAAGGCCCGGGTGCCTCTCTGGGCCTGGTGTCCCCCTCCCTCCCCCAGCAGGCTGTTTGCCTTTAGGGCTCAGGAAACTGGGGCCATGGCACATCTTGGAGGTCACAGTTTGTCCTGCCCTGTCGGCACCACGGGCCAGATGAGAAAACATCCTGTTTACTTCCTTGCGCTGGATGGATGTGGCTGAACAAGACCTGGGCGTGAGGCCAAGTGCACGGCATCTCCAGGCACGCTGAATCCCAGCCTTGCTGCCCGGATGTATGGCTTTTACAGCGGAGGAGGCTGGAGTGGGAGAGTTAATGATGGTGTCTGTGTGACACAGTCAGCCGGTGACATGGCCAGCCTGTCCACCGTAAGGCTGATTATTTTTCATCAATTTCTCTTATCTTTCCTGGCTCCAGTGGGCATGCGGTCTGACCCCTAGGGTCTGGCTTGTTCACCCTGGGTGTCCAGCAAGGAGCCTGAGCCAGGCGAGTTGCAGAGGTGGGTGGAACCAAGCACAGGCATGGATGAGCAGGCAGCCCCTGCTGAGAGGAGAAGGGGAAGCTGAGTGCATAGTTCTCCTACCTCAAAGCTCAGCAAACCAAGTCTTCTCTCCTGTCCCCTTCACAGGCACCTGTCTCTAGGCCTGTCCCCGCCCTACCAGCCTCTCCTTCTATTCCATAACAAACCCCTGATGTTCTGTCCCCCAGCCTGGGAGGTAGCTTGGTGTAGAGAAATACTGTGTGGCACACGTCCCTTCCACCCCAGCCTCGGGAGGTCCTGCTTCATTGCCAGGGTGGAACAAATAGTCTGCTTGGCCTGAGCTGGCCAAGCAGGGCTGCTGGATGGGCACCCCGGAGCCGCGTTCAAGAGTCAGGATCTATTGGTCCATTTCTACACAAAGCTTCCTGGAATTTTGATAAGGATTATGTTGCATCTAAAGGTCAATTGGAGTAGTGCTGTCTTGTTTTGCTCACCCATGTTTGCAGCACCTAATGATTTCATTCATTGTAGAGCAAGATGGATTTCTCAAAATTGTTTTTTCCAGTATCAGGAGTCAACCTCATGACCTCTCACTTTTCAGGCAGGCGCTGTGCCACTGAGCTAGAGCACCGGTGGTTTCTCAATTCCTATTTCATCTTTTCCCTCGCTCTTCTATCCTCCTCCCGCCATCTCTTGGGGTTTTTTCTCTTTTGCAAAAAATCTGTCTCCCATTCCCTACTATCCATCTTTTATTGTTTTTTAAAAATTTATTTATATATTGGGTTTCCCACATAAAAGAAACCACGCTATAGTCAAGCTTGTGTGTCTGGCTTATTTCACTCACACTTAGGGCCTCAGTGCGGGTCCATTTTCCTACAAATGACTCAGCGCTATCCTTCAGAGCGAGGAGTACTCCACTGTGTATAAACACATCTTCTTTATCCCCTCATCTGCTGCTTCCAAGATTGAGCTATTATGAGTTGTGCTGCTATAAACATGGATATTTATAGGTCACTGTAATTTGATGTCTTTAACTCCTCTGGGATGATGCCTACAAGGGGACTAGCTGGGTTGAATGGGAGTCCTACTTTTAGGGTTCTTTTGAAGGCTCTTCGTGCTGATTTGCATAGTGGCTGTACTAGTTCATGTCCCACACCAACAGTGTAGAAGGGACCTTTTCCCCTGCAGCCTCATCAGCATTTGTTGCTATTTAACTTCTTAGTGACAGCTACTCTCTCTGGGGTAAGATGGAATCTCAGTGCTGTATTCATTTGCTTTTCTCTAATGGCTCGAGGTGGCAAGTATTTTTTCATGTATTTGTTGGCCATTTGTACGTGTTCATTTGAGAACTGTCTATCCATCCGGGCTGCCCATGTTCTGGTTGGGTCTTTTCGGATCGCACCAACTCTGCCAGCTCTACTTGCCTTATTTACACAGAAGACAGATTCTTCTGCACACAGACTTGGAGGAGCAGCAGCTGTGCCAGTCACTGTGTCCTTCTCGGCCCTGTGTGCATGGAGTGCTTTATCACTTCCTCTTCTCTTCTGCTGTGCCAAGGCGGCATCATGGCCTGGGGGCGTGTGGGGCGTCAGATGGCTGGTCGGGGGCTCCTGGTTTCCACGTCACTTGTGCCATCTTCTAACACGAGAACCAGGAAGGCTGATCGGAAGTGGCCCTGCCCCAGTACACTATCTTTGAGCTCCTTACTTTCTCCTTTATGCGATGGCAAGAAGTTTGTGTATTGGGTGTTCATACTGCAAAAGTAAACAGTAATTTTTGGTTTCTAATTTAAAATAAACAAGAATGGCTCAGTGTTCAAGTCCTTAGAATACCTACAGTGTGAGAGAGTATTCTTTCTATCTGCTCTTGTGTTGGTTTCTAGTTTGGAAATGGGTATGTGTGTCTTCAACGAAGAATCAGAATTGGGATACGCTGTTTCCCAGTCAGCCCGGCTACTTCCTGTTATTCTGAGTACACTCACTTCCTGGTTGTGGCAGTGACTTCTACTATATTCTTTTTTTAAATTTATTTATTTATTTATGTGTGTGTGTGTGTATGTGTGTGTGTGTGTGTGTGTGTGTGTGTGGCTAGCTCAGCCCACCAGGGGGCGGGACTGGCTGGCATGTGGTGCGGGGGGATTGAACCACGGTCCCTGTGCTTTTGCTAAGCTTGCTCTAAGTAGGTGCTTTAGACCACTGAGCCATCTCACCAGCCCTCTACTATATTCTTGAAGACACGGGATATGTTACAGTTAAGTTAATGCAGATTGGTGCGCTCTGTGTGAACAACCCGCTTGTCTCACCACGCATACATCCCACTGACCTCTTAGATTTGTTTTTGTTCCTAAAAGACCTTGAAGGACCTGCTCAATGGAGATGACCTTTTTCTGATGCCAGGTCGTCTAAAGAACCTGAGAGAGCTCAATGTGAGTTTCAACAGGCTGACGAACATTCCGGCAGCACTCGGCGACTGCGCGAGTCTAGAGAGATTGGACTTCTCTGGGAACCTCGAGTTGACGGAGCTCCCCTTCGAAGTAAGAAATCAACATTGCTGCCCTGTAATCTAGTTATCTTTATGACACAGGATGATCAGTAATATGTGATTGACATTTTAATATGACATCGGTAATATGACATTTTAAATGGTGAAATCCATCACAATTTTCTTTTTTTTTTTGTGGGACTGAGCATTGGACTCAGATCCTTGCACTTGCCAGGCAAGCGCTTATTCTACTGTGCCATCTCCCCGGCCCCATAAATGGCCATTGAGTTTCTATATTTATTTATTTATTTTATTTTGCATTACCGGGGATTGAACTCAGGACCTTATGCTCGCCAGGCAAGTGCTTATTCTACTGAGCTGTCTCCCCGGCCCATAAATGGCCCCATCACAACTTTCCTGACGTTTCAGTTACCTTATACCTGCTGTCATAAGGTCTTTAAAATCGTTCAGGATTTCTCCTAGACTGTGAACCTCAGAGTCCTGCCGAGTCCAGCTCTCAGCACTCTCATACGTCCTGTCACTCTCGTAGTCACTCATCTCCAGTCTCTCTCTCCTCTGAGAATGAATAAAACTGGGGTGCGTTCCTGGTCGAGACCTTTGCTCCGGTTAGCCATTGCACCCGGGGCGCCCCACAACTGCAGATGTACCTTAGTCTCTCGGTTCTCTCCGTGGGTTGTACTGAAAGGGGTGGGTTGCAGTTAACTCGCTGCAGTTCCAGTGCTGTTCATGGGATCACAAATGTAAACTTCCTGCACCCCAGCGGGGACCCCGAAGGGCTCCCTAAGGGACTTGGCATCAGGATGTTTCTGCCCCGTGCCTCAGATTGTTCTGTGTCCGCTTCCTGTTAAGTCCTAGTCCTGTTGAGTGCCAAGCAGCTGGGAATTTGTTTTGTTCTCTGCATGTCTGACCTTTTCAGTCAATTCCACATAGAGCCCTGCTTCTCTCACACCGCAGGCATAGAGCAAGGACCACAGGTGTGTCCTGTCGCTGTGGATAATGGTCTTGCTGGGACTTTTTGTTGAAAAGATTGTCCCTTCTCTTTTGGATGATCTGGGCAACTTTGTTCATAAATCCTTTGACACTAAACAAAAAGGTTTCTTTCTGGAATCTCACTTCCATTCTAGCATGCTGTTTCTCCGTCGAGTGTCACTTCTACACTGCCCGACGATGTGGCTTGTCATTAGTCCTGAATGTGCGCACTCTACACTAAACTCCCCAGCTGTGTCTTTCTTTTTCAGAATTGTTTTGAGTCTTCTCGATCCTTTCATTTCCATATAAATCTTTGGATGAGCACCCGGCAGTGACATGTGCCTGTCTGTAATCCCTCCTCATGGGAGCTGAGGCAGGAAGGCTGGAGGTTCAAAGCCAGCCTTGGCAGCTTGGCGAGACTCTGCCTGAAAATACACTTCAGAAAAGGATCCACCTGGAAGTTTAAAAAGAGCCTTCTGAGATTTTTATTGAGTATTGGATTTAATTTACAGATCAGTTTGGGGAAGAATTTCATATCTGAAAACAAAAAATTTCTCATTTATGTAAACCTTTCATTTTTCTTACCAGTGCTTTATAGTTTTTAATATATAATCTCTTT